GGGGCCCGTGGGGTGGGAGGGCCCCTGTGAATGATTTAGATTGCCATCATGGAACTGCACCTGTGTTTAAAGAAGAACTCACAATAAATTAAAAATGGTGCCATTTGCTAGAAAATGCAGACCCATTTCTGTCATAATTTTGTTTTCCAGAAATCATTATCTGGTTACTCAAGATAATCAACAGACCTTGTTGTGAGCAGTTTCATGTGGGGACTGTTTTCTTTCTACCAAATGACACCATAAACCCCCTACTCATGGATGAGAGGTCTATGCTCGTGACATTAATGACATCCTCCTCGGCTGAGCTGTAGTTAGTTAGTTAGTTGGTTCAGTGGCGCCAGGTGAGCTACCAGTAGCAGATTATCTTGATAAACCAGGTCATTATTTCTGGAAAAGAGACATTGCTGTTGAGTTTTTCAAATGTATTTTTTGACGTTTTGACCACCACCACTGGCCAATTACTATTTAGTTACATCATATTTAAAGGGGCAATAAGTAAAATCGTTTCACCGCTAGGTTCGCTGTTGTGCACTGCCTGTAGAGCAAAACAAAGTGTGTCATGAGCCACTCCTACCTCTACCTCTGCTCTCCAACACCCAACACCCACACATTAGCAGTAGTCGGCTGCCATGCTAACGTTCTGGGAGCCTGCTTCTTGGCTCCGGCGAGCTCTAGCGTGGAGCCTGGCGGGCTCACGGAGAAGAGAGGAATGTTAGCGTTAGCTCCCAGAGTTAGCACTAGAGCTACTACAGCTACTGGAGTAACTTACAGCTATGGAGCGCTTCTACCAGCTCTTCTAGTCACTGAGCCTCGCCTCCATTTCAGCAAATATATTTCATTTATTACAGGGACCATCATCATTGAAGTGGGAAGGGGAATAGCTAAACACAGCCACCAGACTGCCCGCCAGGCTACATTTTACAATGCTAATTGCAAATGTTAGCTGGGCTGCCGGGCTACTCACCTAACACAACTGTAACGCCTGACCCATTGCTGGGACAGAGCCGCTAATAACTCAAGCTCCGGACATTAACCCATGCTACGATTGTAACATTAAATTTAATTGAACCAACATAGCGACATGTGCTTAACGTTACTGTAACACTAATTAAAACAGACATTTGACTTCATGTTGTACCTGTCCAGGAGAAGAAGAGCTAGCTCCGAGTCAGATTGTAGCCCCTTTAGCTCTTGCAGTGCTCTCCACCTTGGAAATGCAAGGCCAATGTTAATCCGAGTTCTGTCCCTTTCTTTATCCGACAACTTCTTCGCCAACAACCGTTGTTTCTTTAGAGGTAGTGTCAGATCCTGGTCGTCTTCAGGTGGACGTTCCGCTCTCTGCCATTTCATTTCAAAAATACGCCGCTGCCATTGCTCACTGGCTGTAGCCTTTTATAGGGAGGGAGGGCCAAGGGCTCCGAGAGGAGGGGGGGGGGTTACATGAACGTACATGAACGCGCAGCCGGACCGGCTTGTAAACAAGGGGCTGGAGATCAACACAGAGAGAGGGTGTGTGAGGTCATGCTATACTCCAGATGAAATTACACCTCTAGTTCTTCACATACCCATTTTTTAATTCCTTCAATCTAGAAATGATGAATTTTGCTTATTGCTCCTTTAAAAGAAGGCGGACATCTCTACAGCCGATATCTCCAACACTCTGCAACTCCAAAACAATCTAGATTGATAATTAGCACTACAGGTAAGAGGGAAAATATGTATTTTTGATTTCGGGGTGAACTGTCTCTTTAAGTCAGTTTTTGGCCAAATGACCCTCACTCACAGGTTCCCTTTTTCCTCTGAATAAATGCCTTACTATTCTTCCGACAAAGATCTTGACAGATCATCTGAAAGCAAATCAAATCCCATTTTGGACAGCTGCATCTGACATTTTTTTGTAACTTTCTGAAACAGAAAATCCAACAATCAAGCCCACTATATGCAGCAATTGACCATCTGTAGCAAAAAAGGCAGTATTTGAAATGTTCTCTCCAGACCGCTGTTTTCATTCTTCACACTGAAGATCTCTATGACCCCATTTTAGCACATCCATCTTTCCAAGATATGTGAGTTATACTTCTTCCAAGTGTAACTATGTCAGTAAGTGGCCTCTCCAGGGGCTGTCCTCTGTGATGATGCCAGCAATAGCCATCGCTGTCCCTGTTGCTTGAGACGGGGAAGGAAGTGGCTCCACTGATTTCAACACAAACAGTCATACTGAGGAAAAACTGAGCTGTTGTAACAATTATCTGATCCCTGATCTGTTTGACACATGGATTGATGTGTGTGCCTGAGAGAGCCTTGCTGTATATGGGTGAGTTTCTTAGTGTGATTCATTCATGTGTTTGTGTTTTGTTTATGGATAGTTGTTAGCCAGCCAACCACTATTAATCACAGTTTGTTGTTATGTTGTTATAACTCCTGTGTTTCTGGCTTTTGACAGCTTCAAGTGCATTACTACCACCATCTGGTCTAAATTTTAGTTGACTTTGATACGCATATCCAAGAAAACCAAGACAGATTGTAATGAGATTTGTGATTAGAGATTGTGCAAATATGTGGCTTGCTCTATCAAAATCAGTCGGATGTTGCAACTGCTCATTTCTAGATAAATGTGGACTTGTGTAAACATCTCCATTTTTGGTCATTTGAGGGTTTTGCTTGATTTTAAAACAAAGTCTAGGCTTCCAGAAAATAAAACTGTTATAACTACATTGAGACAATAAATACAATTTTGAAGCTTGTAAAGGCATGATGACAAGCCAGTGGTGAACACTAGTCAACCACACTGTGGTCCTACTCAGTGCCAATGTTCCCCCCTTCCTCTATTCTTATAATTATGAAAGAAAAGCTTATAGTAACAAGGCAGGTTCAAAGACAGTGAGTTTTTGTCTGATTTCAAATAGACAAAGTCTTCGCTTTTAGAGCACTAAAGCGCATTAAACCCCACTGGGACACTGAGGCTAACGTAATTCTTAGTGGCTTAGCATCACACATCAAAATGTAGGTGAACTATCCCCTCTTTCCAATAGTGTATATAAATTAAAATGTCTGTCAGGGTTAATATGACTGAAAAAGAGGAAATGAAAATGTATGAACTTGCATTTGTATTTTATCTGGATCCAAGAAACTACAGTCTCAATGGAGCCTTTTTTCAAACCTACATCTGTCATTGTTTGTGTAAAACCCAGTCCGACACCAAGTGTAAGTGTGGGCAAGTAAAGTGTGCTTTGTTGTCCCCATTTGTACAACTCATCTCATGGAGACCACAAAGGCACACAAAAGAACCATTCTGTGAGAGAGATGAAGATGGAGGCAGTGGGATGCAGGCTTTTTGTATTTGTACCTGTTCCAAACAGCACTTAGGTGTGCTCGGACAACGTAGTAGGACCTACATTGTTTGATGCATCCTGAAGCTTTAAGACTGGTGACTTTTTAGCAGTATGGGAAAAAGACAAAGGAAAAGGAGTTTTCTCATGAACAAACAAAATGCACACCACTCATATTCAAGCCCTGGGGGGAGCACAGTTGGATGCACTGGCTAATGGACTCCCTCTCCTCTCCTGCATGTTGTGGTGTCAAGTGATCTGTCAAGAATACCCGTGGGTGCGTTGCTTTTTAATCAGGACCCATCATTTCATAAATTAAGAGTGATTAAGTGATCAATTTACCTTTGTCATAGTTTTGTCATCATCAGTTAATGGCTGTCTTAGGGGAATAAATGAGGAGATAAGTGGGACTGAAGGCTGTTCAAGTCTGGCTGTACCCTGTGGGATGATGGGCTGCTCCTCTGGGATGATTGCTGGCTCATATATCAGATTTGTATTATCATGTCTCGCTTTTCTCTTATCATTACAACACAAACCCATTCTGATTTGTATGCAAAAAAGTCACAGTGATGATTTGTTTTCTAAACAGCAGTCTGTTTGGCGGTATACAACTTTTATAATACACTACATGGTTCAGATTTATCACAGATCTGCTTTGATTTCCCAAGGCCTACAGCAAGTACCTGCTGCTTATATGCTTGGCTGATAGTGCTGGCATAAAGGCATCACTGATGTCAACAAGAAGAAAAAAGCCCAAAAATGATCCTGAAACTATAAACAGCATTATTATCAAAGAGTGAAATGTGTCTTTGAAAAATGGTGAAGAATTAAGAAATATTAAGTTGGGGAGCACTGACTTATTCACATGAAATCAACCAATTTATTTAAGACATAAAATCATACAAAATGGGGGGGGGGGGGGGGGTATACCTATACCCCACATACCTGTGTATAACCCCTACTACACCGCTAGTTTTGGGCTATGAGAATGTCTCAAAATCACTTATTCACAATATTATCCCTAAAGCTGCGCTAATCAAGCCCAAGAACAGTGGTGTAGTGGAGGATATACGCAGGTATATAGGATATACCCACTTGGTTTTTAGGCAGTTTGCAGTATACCCACCTATCAGCCAGAAAGGCATTGGAATATATAGGAGAGTATACCCAGTAACGTACCTATCTGCCCATTAATCCACCCACCTCATCAACTGCCACTACACCTCTACCCAAAAGTAGTAACCGAGCCCAACCCTGAACCTGGCACGCATTTTGGTTTTTATCTCTGAACCCAGCTCAATTCTGACGCAGGTAATATAACGTTACTGAAACACTGACTTTGTCTGTTATGCTACTGTGTAATTATGATTACAGCTTGCCTGTTTACTGTGATTACACACGTGTAAATGACCACCAAAAGTCATTGTTTTATATTGACTTATAGGTAGTCTGCTTTAACACACGTCACACACTGTCAAGACTTTTGATCAGGTTATGTGTACTAATAAGAAATGTGTATGATTTATTGAGCTGCTGCAGCCACTCTCTTCTTTTAACAGAGATATCTACCCTTTCTATTGTTTGGTTAAAACATTCATTTAGTTACGTTGTACGCCTGAGACCCTTTAAGGGGTTAATCGTGAGGGCGTACATAATATTCTTGTTTCACGTTGACGGCTAATTGTCGGCGAACCTTCGGCAGGAGCATACAGCCCGTCAGTAAGTAGCATTACAACTGCTAACTGCAAGCAGCCTGCTAATGATGGTTAACTCATGAATAGAGGGTCGTGTTGACGTTCACCACGCTATCCCGACGTGCCGTAGGTGGCTCATAATGTGTTGTTTACAAGCGTGATAGGCGTTCAGCCTCCGGCGTGAGTGTAGCGCAGCACTCTCGGCCGGCACTCGGCTAACTCCCGGGAGCATTCTCGGCGGTCGGGGTTGGCCGGGACATGCCGGTGGTTGAGCGCTCGGTGAGCAAATGCGTACGATGGTGTGGTGAACGGCAACTTTGACTCTGTGGTCTGTTGCAGAGCATTGTATTGTGTTTCGTGGCTCTTGTAACTTATCGGCAGCGCGTGCAGTTGGTATACACAGGCCGTGTCTCAACATGTCCGCGCTGCCGTCTGGGGACTGCTTTGCGCGTGCTCCCGGAGCGCTGGGCTTTCTGGGAGATGTAGTAAATGTGGTTGATTTGGGTCTTCTGTGATGTATCTGAAATTGTTACTTATGTAAATGGTATGCAGGTAGATTCTTGTTATATGTATGGCAATAGTAGCTGATGGGGTAATAATTAACCAGCTTACAAACATATTTTATTTATGAAAAAAAAGTGGAAACATCTGTTCAGCAATCTCAGTTTTACATGAAACTTTTTGCATCTGTTTTTGTTGTTTCAGGTTTATGACCTGTGGTCATTTTGTTATCAAAATAAAGAAGACAAAAAGGAAAACACGAGTTATAACTTTGTGTGCTGCCTGTCGAGCCTTGTCGGAGGGCTGAAATTTAAAAAAGATCCGAACACACACACACACTCTCTCTCTCACTCTCTCTCACAGTCCCACCTCACCTGGTGACTTACCGGTCTTGTAGTCAATGACACTCCTCACCTCCAGAAGAGTTTTAACCTATTATTGTTATCACAGACCATAATAGATATACAGATGGCTCCTATATAGTCCGAAAGGAGAAAAAACAGTCTTTCTTATCAATTTAGGTTTTCTAGAAGTGTTTTTATATACAGTAAGCTCCTAAACAGATAGTAGGACAATCATAGCCAACCCAAACCTAAACAACATTATTTCCCAAGCAAGTACACTGAGCTTCGGGTAATGCTAGGCGATGAGATATTTTGTTTGACGTCCTCCCTCATTTTGTAGCTATCGTTAACTTACATAAATGTGTTGCCTTCACGTGTCTTCACATTAACAAACCCTAGCCCTGAACAGGAAGTAGTAGTAGAAGGTCTGTCATAGGTCGAAGCCAACCAGAACCTAAACCTGTTGGGTCCCATTGGCTTTGTGAGGGTATCCACACTCTACTCTACACAGCTCTGTTGGGGCCTTTTAGCCTCTTTTAGCCCACTGGTTTAGTTTTTCGGCCCACTGCTACAGTAAGCAGCTATTTTCAGTAAAGAAGCCGTGGTGAATACTCACTGTACTCTACCTACCCCTACTTATGCCATCAGAATAATCTAGATATGCTATAATTACATACAATTCTATACACAGAGGGTATTTTAATACTTTGATTGTAAAATTGTGATGGTTTGATGTGAATTCAAAAATATTTGTTTGTAAATGCGTATATATTATTTAATGTGTTAAAGGGGCAATAAGCGAAATCGTTTCACCGCTAGGTTCGTTGTTGTGCACTGCCTATAGAGCAAAACAAAGTATGTCATGAGCCACTCCTCCCTCTACCTCTGCTCTCCAACACCCCCCACTCCCCCCACTTGCCTCGTCTGTGCAGCCGAGCACCGCAGCATCTCCACGGACTTTTACATCCAGACAGTCTCCCGGTGTTTCTTCCACAGGCTCCGCTTCACTCAGCTTCACTCAGCTGCCCGATATACCCGCTGCTTCTTCCCACATTAACCTGAATAACAAACCAGGGCTTGGTGCTCCGGTTGGATTCAAACAGAGAGCTGCTAGCTGGGATGCTAGCGGAAGCTAACTGGCTGTGCTGGCAGCTGAGTGAAGTGGAGCCTGAGGAGGAAGCACCGGTTAGCCCCGGTTTCACTGCAGGCAGATTCACTCGCCACAGGGGTGAGGAAATAAAACCTAAACAGCCAACTTAGTTTGGCTTAGTTTAGCAGTTAGTGATGTCTTTCACTCACTCTCGGTCTCTGCTGTGTTTAGCTATTTCCCTGCTTTCCTGTTAGCGTTAGCACTACTCCGCTGCCACACTAACGCTCCAACTCCAACTGAGCCGGGAGCCCGTAAGCGGGCTCACGGAGAAGAGTTGGAACGTTAGCATGGCAGCCGACTAGTGCTAACGTCCCTACGCTTCTCCGCCAGGCTCAGCTCGCCGGAGCCGAGAAGCGTGGGGACGCTAGCGTTAGCACTAGTCGGCTGCCATGCTAATGTTCCGGGAGCCTGTTTCTCGGCTCACGGAGCTCGCCGGAGCCGAGAAGAGTGGGGACGTTAGCGTTAGCACTAGTCGGCTGCCATGCTAAGGTTCCGGGAGCCTGCTTAAGCGTGGGGACGTTAGCCTTAGCCCTAGTCGGCTGCCATGCTAAGGTTCCGGGAGCCTGCTTAAGCGTGGGGACGTTAGCGTTAGCACTAGTCGGCTGCCATGCTAAGATTCCAACTCTTCTCCGTGAGCCGGGAGCCCGTGAGCGTCTCACGAAGAAGAGTTGGAACGAGAGTAATGTTAGCGTTAGCTCCCAGAGTTAGCACTAGAGCTACTATGGCTACTGGAGCTTGCAGCTATGGAGCACTTCTATCAGCTCTTCTAGTCAGTGAGCCTCGCCTCCATTTCAGCAAATATATTGCATTTATTACAGGTACCATCATCATTGAAGTAGGCAGGGGAATAGCTAAACACAGCCACCAGCCTGCCCGCCAGGCTACATTTTACAATGCTAATTGCAAATGTCAGCTGGGCTGCCGGGCTACTCACCTAACACAACTGTAACGCCTGACCCATTGCTGGGACCGAGCCGCTAATAACTCAAGCTCCGGACATTAACCCATGCTACGATTGTAACATTAAATTTAAATGAATCGACATAGCGACATGTGCTTAACGTTACTGTAACAGTAATTAAAACAGACATTTGACTTCATGTTGTACCTGTCCAGGAGAAGAAGAGCTAGCTCCGAGTCAGATTGTAGCCCCTTTAGCTCTTGCAGTGCTCTCCACCTTGGAAATGCAAGGCCAATGTTAATCCGAGTTCTGTCCCTTTCTTTATCCGACAACTTCTTCGCCAACAACCGTTGTTTCTTTAGAGGTAGTGTCAGATCCTGGTCGTCTTCAGGTGGACGTTCCGCTCTCTGCCATTTCATTTCGAAAATACGCCGATGCCATTGCTCACTGGCTGTAGCCTTTTATAGGGAGGGAGGGCCAAGGGCTCCGAGAGGAGGGGGGGGGGTTACATGAACGTACATGAACGCGCAGCCGGACCGGCTTGTAAACAAGGGGCTGGAGATCAACACAGAGAGAGGGTGTGTGAGGTCATGCTATACTCCAGATGAAATTACACCTCTAGTTCTTCACATACCCATTTTTTAATTCCTTCAATCTAGAAATGGTGAATTTCGCTTATTGCTCCTTTAAAATCACAAAAGCTGTATACTTACTTCATCCTATTCCCTGTATTATGATAATAAGGCTGACATAATGCAATAAGACTTGTGGGCTTAGGGACATTCCTTTTTAATGGAAGAGTCATGTTAATGATTGCCTGTGATTAACCTTCTGTTAGAGGTAACCCGCATCTGATTGTGGCAGCTGGTTTGGCAGGTCATGGGTTTCCCACTTAACATTGGAAATCAGCTCAATAAAGGGAATCAATATAGACAAAGACAAAGAGAGAAGGGAGATTTTTCCTGCTAACCAAGGTGGTGGAAAGTTATTTGCACAAAGTAAAATTAACCTCTTCCCCCTTTTAGCCTGGGGTAAGCCACACGTTATACGCTCCGACAGGCCACTGAGGAGTTCTTGGAGTCCCTTGTCAGATAAATGAAAATTATTGGAGGTTAGATATTCTGCACCACAGCCAAAACCTTTAAGATGAACATAATGTTTTCTTTACAATCCATGCTCTCAAAGACTGGGGGTTAAGGGAGTGGTAAAGAAAAACATTCTATCCCCTCCATGATTTATGTCTCAATGAATATGTACATAAATAGGCATAATCAACAGAGAGACCAGGTCACCAATATGCCAGGAATCTTGCTAGGTTATTATGATACTAAAGATAGCACTTTGTTTTTAACTCAGGTGAGACAGAAAAAAACTAATTTAAATAAAAGAAGACAGAAACTTTTGCTCCCTAATTAGAGGACCTAAGCAGGGGCCACCAACAGGATTGCCAATAGCCACCAATTAGCCAGACCACGTGATGAGCATGTCACCATAGTAGCCCTTAATCGCAATCTTGAAACTGCAATCAACGTTCATAAAACCTTCCTGTCAAAGCCATTAAATAAAAGAAGATTGTAAACTAAATTGCTGCCCTACTATTTTAATTAGATTTATGTGACACCGCACAGCATTTGTTACAGAGTTTCAGTTTGTCACTTTCTGCAGATCACTGTAGACCACTTCAAACAGATAATTATTGTTTCTGTATTCTGTATTGGTACCTCACTTATTCAGATGGCTATTCAGGGCCAGGATAAGTAGTAGTAAAAGTGTTATAGCCTTATGGCTGCATCCCGCTATCTCCCCCCAATCTTTCTTCAAGGATTAAATTAATTGTATGTTATAGTTATAACAGCTTACACTTTCAGACAGTTTCTCCTCAAGGACATCCATGGTGTTGCACTGTGTTGTGGTACACACAGAAGTAGTTGTGTGAGTAATGAAAATAGAGAGCTTGAAATAAAAGTTAACACCTTTTTATCACAACTCCACACACCTTGCCAATCACTGCATGAAGTGGTCGTGATAGTCGCACTGCGTTTCAGGACTTGTTGAGTGCAGCCCCATCCCTGACTCTGCTGTTGGAATGGTGGTTTTAGACACTGTTGAACAATCCAACGAACACTGAA